CATTGCCGAAGTCGTGAGTTTCATACAGACCTAGCTGGTTACAAAAAAACAGTGTGTCAGGTTTACCACAAATAACAGAAGAACTGGTTTGTTGCCTTATTTCATGTGCAATCCGGTCTAACTAGGTTTGTATCAGGTCCATGAAGCAAAATTTTAAGTTTTCACATTGTATCGGATCCAGATCATTAAATACACATGTATCGCGTAAGTCTTTGAAAAAAAAATCCACCAATGGATTCCATTTTGTCGTAATGTACACCACCACTTCTCAATGCGTTGGTTAGATGTGCTTTTTCCAGCTACAACGCTTCTAGTACCAGCAATCGTGTCTGAAGTATTGCTGCAATAGTAAAACAATGCAGTTTTCCGTACCAACATCACATAGTAGTATTGGGTGGAAGGGGACTTGATAATGTTCATTAAAGGTGTCTAAAAGTATCTTGCAATAAGGTGTGAGTCGTTTTTTGAGTCTGAAATCTCTAACCATATTATTTTTATACTATACCCATTCACAGCACCATGGATACAAAATCCTAATGGTTTAAGTTTGTCTTAACCGTCCATATGTCATATAAAACTGGTCCTTTGGCGTAGTATACGCGTCGGCATAAGCGATGAGCTTTCCGCATCTCATTGCCATCTGGATTAAGCGCTCTCATTATTTCCATGACGTCGTCCCCCTTGACGTACATGTGGAAATCCAGCATTGACCTACGCCATATTGTACGGTATCCTATGCATTGTCAACTTGTTTGTATTTCTCTGTTTATAACATCAGACACAGTCTCAAAAGGAGTATATATTCTATTACGCCGTTTTAAATTTAAGCGTTTAAAAAGTCTATTAACCGTACTAAAGGACGTCGTAATGCCATGACGTACCAGAAAGTACTCTATTATCAGCAGAGTTTTGTTTGTTATAGATGTTGAGGGTAGGTATCTTTGCACGGTAGCTTTGGTAATGCCGAACAGTATAATGATGAAGACACAGATCAACATCAAGGTTTTCATCCTCGTTACCTTTTGTCCAGTTGTTGTGTCTGAAATAAGAGTTTATCTTTTATCTAAATCTTTATACATTCATAGTAAAACTATATAAAATGGGTAAATATCTTAGCTCCGTCTTTTAAAGATTGATATTTGCGGAAAAAACACATAACATTTAAAATGCTAGTAGGATATTTTAATCTAACTGGTCCTATGTTTGTTCTTAAGTGTTTTTTTCTCAATTGTTAAAATATATAACAAAATTAGACATTGATGCTAAATGCAAATGGTGCTCGATCACAATTATTAGTTAACTTTGTACTTGTGTGTATGAACATAGCACTTGCCGTTCTTTATGAAATTGGTCAACACTAAGTACTTTAGGGAAATACTGATTCTGTGTTAGCTCAATAAAATGCTGAATTGCGATACATGTTTAATACTGTGCACCATGCCATTTTAAGACCTAAAACTTGTATTCCCTGTCTACTTGTAAAACAGTTATTTGTTTGTTACTCATGGACAGATTTTGTGATGAGGACAAAAAATGTATAAGCACTAATATAATGAACATATTTAGAACATAGCAGTTTGCACAAAACACACAGTCACACTTTTGGAATTAAAGTCTGTGATATATTACCACTATGGGATTATATCAAATAACATTAAATTCCCTCCTTAACACATCCTCTCCTCCATGACAAATCTGAATTAAATTATTCAAAACGTTAAAAAACATACCTGAAACCAAAGTTGCTGCTTTCAGCTTCTAAAGCACGTGTAAAATGGGTTAGCCAAAAGTCATAAGACGTAAGTCACAAATCAAAAGTCAAAAATCGAAAGTCAAAAGTAAAGTATCCGTAAGTCGAAACTCAAAAGTGACCCTCCAAGGCTTCCATAGATTTGGGTTTTAAAAGCGTTTAACCACTTTTCATTTTTGGGTCATTTTGCACTTATACTGGAAAAATAGAGTCAGCGAATAATCTGAAATCTTGCACACAAGTTAACGTGCATCCAATAGTATATAAATTTAGAAAAAGATATTACCAGTTTCGTCATAGCAATAACGTTTATTAGAGATGTAGATTTATCTATATCTCTGCGTTAGTTTTAAAAAAATCATACCCTGGTTGGTATATTTTAACTGGAACAATAATAAAATTTTGGTCCCAGATTTTAATTAGAATAGGAAACACATTTGTGACATTGTAACAAATGTGAACAAAAAAAGTAAATTACATGAACACTGACTTATTTTTAAAAAAATCAGCATCAGACTAAAATAACAAAATTGAAAAAACAAAACAAAACAAAAAAACAGATTGCAAAAGTAGAAAATAAAAAATATTCATAAGATTGTTCAAAATGCAGCGCGTATATATCACATCTACACTAATTTATTTCTGTTGCTCTGGCTATTAAAACGTTCAACAGCGCCTAGCTAGAACTGACACTGACAATTTCATTGATAGGACTGGTATAGAATTCTATATTTTTTTTGTTTTTTATTTGATTTTCACGTGTAGTCTATAGCCGGGCAAGCCACTTATTTGGGGTAATCTCAGGGGCAGGTAACTTATACATACGTCTGAAATATCTTTTTTCCTTTTGTAATGTTTTTCAGTATATTTTTCCATATTTTCAACCAAAAAAATCCATGAAATATTTCTGTTACCTTTTTCATAAGAGGTAATTTTAATTCTTCTAAGTTTTGCCTTAAAAGCGTTTTAATTTCGCCGCCGCCGCTGCCACCGCCGCCAACACGACCACCACCAATAACAACATAGTATGAGTAAGAAAAAGTTTTGTAAAATGCGTAAGAATACAACACTCGCTGTATCTGTAAAATCCACAGATCCGCTGATTTATATAAAACTCGAGTTCAACATCTTGCGACATTTAACGATAGTGTTGCGACATTTAACGGTAGGGGAAATCCGTGCGACATTTAACGTTAACATTGCGACATTTAACGGCAAATGATTTTGCGACATTTAGCGGCGGTTGCGACATTTAGCGGCAATGGTGCGACATTTAGCGGTAAATGCGACATTTAGCGGTGTTGCGACATATAACGGCGCCACAAACATTCCATTTGGAATAAAGTATATATTTTAAATGTACCGCCTTTCGAAACTTTTATAATTATCCAACCTTATAGTAACTACAACAGTTGTTGGAAAAACGTAATGGTGCTGTAAAGATAAATAATGCAGCGTTTTGACAATGGCATATCCATAAGTTTTCTTTTATCCTGTCAGAAATATATGATAATAAAGAAACCTTGAGACGAATAAATATTTTTCGCTATATTACTTCTGTCGGATTTATTTTTTCGTCTGTCTTATCGGTGATTGATGATATTCGGAATCAATTACGTGTAGACAATTTTTGCTTTTTTATATCATCTATAGGTTTATGAGGGTTTGTTGTCGTTTTCTTTCGCTGGAAATAAACATTTCCAGCAACGTCATGACTTTAAAATGGAAAACAAACTAAACATTAGAAAAAATAAAGATTCCACAGCTGGAATTAATCGTGCAGATATTGTTTAAGAGATTGTTTAAAGAGATCTTTATTTAAAGAAGGTAACACATAAGATGTATCACCGTAAAAACAAATAGCATATCTTAATCTTAAATGTGGCCTTCTAAACAATATATAAAAACGCACACAAAACAAACATCAAATGTAAGCGACAACAAAGTACATGTATTTAGTCAGTTTAGTAATAAAGTAATAAATCAGCAACACACAGTTTTCTTTATTTCTATTTAAGGCATGCTCTTTTGCTTTTTGTCTTCTAAAATTACAGTTATTTTCTCCAGTCGATGATACATGTAGTTTTTTTATCATTTACTAAACTTTAAAATGATAATCAAGTTCGCTGGTATAATTTGTCTTTCACTTGTAAACTACAAAATAGCATAGTTTTATATTTCACGGGTTAAATTTGTTCATGCCTTATGTTCCACAATGAATTTTATTTGGTTTAAACCCAGTCAGGGACAAGTCTTTGTTTCCTTGAGCAAGAGACTTAAAACTCATTGCTCCAAAAGTGTGTGTATAAGCCTATAGCTTCCTAATCAATCCAACTAAAATAAATTTCCAAAATTCCCAAAGAATTTTAAAATTATACACGATATCTACACGATAGTTTGATCACTGAGGAAAGGGGGACAAAAACACACAAAAAGCACCTATGAATATTCATATTCAATATTATATTTATTGAAAATGTTCATGATATATTTGAGAATGTATACTCATTCAACTTTTGATAACATTCTACACAGATTGTAAGCAGACGTTTCTCGTGCATAAATTATCTAAAGTTGTTACTCAGATAGTTCCTTCGCGTGCTTATATAACATAAACTTCAGTGCAGACTTCAGCTAATAATTAATTAATTCATTATACCACGAGACAATGCGTCAAGTATATTTCATACTGCCTTTTTTTATCTTACATTAAAATTACTGCCAAATCACTTTGGTGCTTGAAATTATTTTTGTCCAATAGGATCGCAGTATTTCAAATGAACACATTTACTTTCGTAAATCGGCAAACTGTTAATCAGTCTAGTAAATCGACTGTTTTTAAAAATAATTTAAACTAAGCTGGCTAAAGTTTATTAGTGCGTATTTACAAAATTAATTTTGTAAATACGTACTAACAAACTTTAACATACACTTTACATAAAATATTATGTTTAGGATAGTCTAAAGTGTTAATGATAGTGTTTATTAGTAAGCATTTACAAATCAATCCAAGAGACCAATTTAATGTGGTAAACGCTATCTAAATAACATTAAGAAATTAAGTGTTTGAAATTATTTTCACAAACAGTTGGTTTACTGTTTATTTGGTTTAAGCGATTCACTAAGATTTATTTCAAATACTGCAATATCCTTTAAGACAAAAATAATTTCAACCATTGTGTGGTGTAGGTCATTTTATTTTGTAAATGAAATGATTTTTTAAGGTAATATGATATATAATTAACACCAATGACACATTAATTTTTGTATTTTTTATAGCTATATTGATCATTTTTTCATATCAGTGCTGCTATGTGGTTGAAATTATATTTCTTCCAATAAGATCGTTCCTATTTTTCAAATTCCTTGGTTCATTTTATCTATTTACTTATGATGAAAACAGGTGCCGTTATCATTTTTTAAAATAGAAAAACAATTTTGTCAAAAGACAATGGTAATCATTTTGCATGATTCAATATGAACACATGTTAATATTCACAATTCTCAGCACTCAAAACTGACATAAAACTTAATAACTCCATATTTAAAGTGCACAAACCGGAAATACTTGCTCACAAAAACACATGAATTTATGGCTTAAAATGTACATTTTATACTATTTCATAAGAACAAATAAAGCAGACACCAACCGCGTTTTCTTATCGCCGAGGAGAGATAAAAAAAAAGTCGAGCGTTCATTTACCAGATATCAATGCGCACTGTATACGTGATAAATGACCTTACATATGTACACACCTATCCTATTTCTTTTATGTGTTCATCCTTTGTGTACATTTGTGAAAATACGTTTGTGTTTTTTTGTGAAAGTACACTCTTATAGTTTATCTTGGTGATTTGTTCTCTGTCTTTTTTATGTAAGCACACATAGATTTATTTGAATGTTACTGTATTATTTGTTTTAACTAAAATATTTCGAACGCCAATGCACCCATAGTTATCCGCCTTACTTCGGCAATTATCGAAATAGACTAGAAGCGACTCTTGCTTTCGGTAATTTTCGTATCACATACCTATTTTTAGTACAATTTTGACACGTGAGAGCGGTTCCATTCCGACGTCATTACTTGTTGAAAAAAAATAGCAGAACTAAGGGTCCGTGTTCCTCTAACAACCACCATGTTTACTTTTTTTTCGGAAAAATGAACTGATATTCACTAAAATGATATGTCGTCTAATTTCTAAAGGAGTGAGAGGTCCACCTGTCAATTTATTTCATTTCTAAGCGTTCTTGTCAAATTATCATCTGAAACAAACTTTGTTACGATTTATGATACCCACGTTGAATTCCATTGACCAGACAATTGTAAAACTCTTCTTTAGATGTTGAGATTATGCGGTCAAATAACGACATGGGATTGTAGGCCCGTATAATCGGGAACACTTGGTCAACAATTATCTTAAAAACATGCTCTGGTTTCTGGTTATAGTCCCATATCTTACCGGTAAGACGCGGACAATTCGCACTGACCCAAAACCTTGCAGTAAATTCCTGTTCGAACAACTCCCTAAACGCAACCATCTCTTCGAATTCTTTTTCAGATAGTTCTTTCATTAGTTTAACCTTCGGACACCTTAGTAGCACGTTGTCACGGTCTGAAATGACATGGTCCAGACGCCTAATTAGCTGCACTCTTTTGATCTCGAATATTTTATTCTGCAACAAATTTTTTGATGGAATCATGTAGCACGGTAAATGCCTCCAAGTTATGCACTTCTTTAGTTGAACAAGTAGTTGTATCAACGTGGCATCGAACCTGTCCTTTGTCACTTGGGCAACTTCGTTGTTTTCAAACCATACGAATAGCAAATTCTTCAGAATATAAGACGTAATGCTATCGCAAATTGGCTTCAGATCATGATTTGCAATCATTTTTAACGCAGCGTAAAGTTTAATCTGAACGTCGTTGAAAGAGTGAACAAGAGCTTGTTCAGCCAAAGTAAACGACATTCTCCACTGCAGTTCTTCGTCTGCGCTTCCTTTACACCCGGCAGGCACTACCAGAACATTCAGCTTTCTCACGGCTTCGACCAAATCTTTACTCGGCCAACTATGTTTCCGTTCCATTTGATACCAATCGTCTAATAGTGAAGGACAGTTGCATTTAATGCCAAGAACACAGTCTGCGCTAATGTTAAGTTCGGGCATCGTCGGCATCTCCACGGTGATTGTTCTTGCTGGACCGGTGATTTCATCAAAAACCGATTGTTGCTTAACCCATCCTTGTCTCTGGAAATGGTCAAAGAATGTACTTATTAACATATCATTTCTGAGGTAGATATGAACATTTCTTTGAACAAATGCTAGATTTAAATTCACCCGTAACTGTAAATTCCTGCGGTACTCGTCAAACTTCTGCAAACGCAGCTTCGCATATCCACTAGGAACGTCGTCAAAGTCTAGTTGAAAGATAAAGAACACATCTCTATCAGGAGAAACATTAAGACCACTGTTCGTACAAAGTATGTTTCTGTGTATGAAAAGAATATCCACGTCACTGTCACATGACGTACACATCCCTTCTGCTCGACTTCCGGCGACAACAGTGTTCACAGATTCGCCTTTTCTTCGACGTATCAACTCTGTGCCACAATTTGAAATGATTTCATACATCTTTATCCTTTTTTCACACAATGATTTCGAATAACCGAGCTTATCCAATGCATCATAGTTAAAACTTTCTTTCACTGTGAATTTTTCTTGGTTCCGATAATTAATAATAGTATTGTCGTCTGTCGAATCCATATTTCAAGTTGATATTATCAAAACGTTTTTCCAAAATCTATCTATAACCGTAAAATTATATGACTTCTACTCTGTCATAATACTAAAACATCAGTAATCAAACTTTTTTTTCATTTTATTTTCTTTCTCGCGTAGTCTGTCTCATTATGTAAATAAGTACTCAGACAAATTTCATCACAGATATAAACGTGTATACGTATTTGTCATATTTATCGACATTGATTTTTTATTTAGTTTTAGTTTCGGTTTGAATAATTCAATGTCGTCTGCTTAAAAAAATCACCAAAATTTCTCTTTGGGCTAACAATACATATTCTTGCTTTAAATTAAAAAGATTGAATTTAACTAATTCTGATTGTCCAGAAATTTACAATAAAATAATGATGTAGTCAAATTTACGTATGAAACATCATATTGACTGAGTAAACGTTCCACGGTTGTTAAACCATTAAATCAAAAGTCTTCTTTGTGGTTCTCTTGTTTGCTATACAATTGTCATGGGTTTCTATTTGTACATATTTATACAAAGAGTGTTTTGGGAAAGTTGTCGACAAACTTTTAAATTTGCATTTTTACATAAATTGGTATTGATTTTTTTTTATTTTTAGCATTTTGAACTAAACGTGTCTTACTTTGGGCTGTTGGCTATTTTCATAGAACAAAAGCCGTTTATATAATCAGCATACTTGACATTTTAAAAAGATTATACAATTATATATCCGTTATCTAAATTTAGATATACATACATGTATATATTTTATGATTAGATGGGTTGAGGACATTCTATAAACATTCTATAAATATCAATGACATATCTGTCCGTGATAAGTGTAATTGACCTTTGGTATTGCACCGTGTCTCCACGTAACAATGGAATGCGCATACATAATCAATAGGATCATCTCGGCTATTATCCGAAGTTTGACGGAAAGTGCCGAGAAGATGCGATTAATACATTATATGAGCGACATTAGCGATTTTGACTAATAATTTCTCAAACAATTTTGTTTGGGAGAAATGCATGCACGAGGGTTTTTAATTCAAACACTCACAGTCTGTCAAGAACGGGAAACTCTTAAGCAATAGGACAGCTGTGTAAATGTTTGAACGGAATTTCATAATAAAACTTTACTACAGTTTTTTGCGAATACTCGTGTTTGTAAACTTTGCAGAACGTTGGAAAAATAATAGCTTTTTTGGATGAAAAAATTGAATAAACGTCCAAAAATAATATATTTTAGTTCACTGTAAGTTTTGTTTAACAATGTTTAACGAAACCGATGTAAAATCATTTTCCAGACTTTATTAAAAGCGGTATACGGTAATTTACTCTATCGCTGCTTTCGAGCTAGTGCAAGTCGCTAAAATCAGGCGTAATCAAATGTGAAGGACCTTCATTATATATATTTTGTAAATTCTACACCAATTATCGAAATTCGGAGAATGCTATGCCATGTAGATTTGATTTACATTTCCAGAAAACGTAAAGTTGTTATAATTGTATCCCAGTTAGCGAATTTAGCGTTGAAATTGACCGTTTCATCAGGAAACAAATTATTTTTCCTCCAATTTTCATCTTTAACAGCGATTCAGTTTTTTTTGTTTTTTTTAAAAATACGTTTCAAGTAGATATGGCCTAGAAATCAAATGAAATTGAAATCTGATCAAAACATCAGTTATTACAGAAAAATATATGATTTTTATTTAGAACTTGTACAATTGTACATTAACATAAAATGTTGGAGAAAAACGATTATAGTGTCAAAGCGCTTAAACGATACATAACAAATCAAAATATTTCGACATACATATTTTTAACAAATCAATTATATAAGAGTTATAAAATTAGTATAATTAAAATACAAGCATACACAGGAGAAATAGAATAGAAACATTTAAGTGAGAAGGTAGAATGATTATGGCTGAGCCTGTGCATGGTTTCATGTAACCGGGTAGACCTTTGCACACTTCCGCTTCGTCACTTCCGGTATTGTCAATCTGCCTTTTTAACACGTACGGATCTTTTTGCGCAATGAACCAAGTGGCACCAACAAGTGTCAAACTGTTGTCGCTTACAGCGCGATTTATATCGTACAAACACCTGGAACAAAAAAGTTTATTTATTATCTTAAAGGCCCATTATGCCTCACAAATGTTTTTTTTTTATTTCTCAAAAGCATTTTAATTCTGGTTGAACTTTAATAAGTATTCAACAAGTAAGTTACTACCGGAATTATCTTTTTCATCTCTTGTTTGTTGGCAGTAAGTACAGTTATAGTGAATTATTATTTTGTATGGGCACAGATATATAAACATCTTATATTTAGCTCAATGGTATGGGAAGTCGAAATACTACTTTGTTTACATTTTGCAACACACATGTACTTTTATGACAAGTTATTTAAAATTATCGCTACTTTTTCAGGTAACAAGCATCTAACATTTCTTTAAAACTATAAAATTCATGTTTGCGCTTTCTAACGAAGTAAAAAAATGTTTTTGAGGCATAATGTGTCTTTAACAAAAAATCATGAAAAAAGTTGCTTTCTAAAACCAAGTTGTGCAATTGAATGTTTTAAAAATTGCAAGTCAGAAGTTCATCGAAAATGAGTGTGCCTAATCAATATAAAATACATGTAGTTCAAAAGGGAGACAATGCATGTATATCTATACCATTTGTCTGGTCCCAGCGTACTTCTAATACATATGAAGGGGCAGGTAATCCAGAAACTTACCTCCCTGCAAGTCTCCCTTGGCAATTTCCGGCATATTTATACCTCAGCTCAGTAGCGTTGATTGGTCCTTGCTGTTTGTAAACAAGAGTGTAGTAATCATGGCGTGTTGGAACGGTGTCTGCAAACGGGAACGGCCCCTCCCATGCTAAACTGATGTCACCTACATATTTCGAGTATTGAAAAAGCAAATTTGAATGAATTGTTTCAGATAAAAAAATAGTTCGCGTAGACCAGTCAAATGATCTTCATCTGCCATTTTCACCAATTAACTTCTGTTTTCAACACTGCACTGGTCTAGCGATTTTCGTAGAAACATATTTATGTCAGATAACAAGTACTTGTTTATTTTTTTATCATTTTTCAGTCGACTTACCGGAGTTATTTTCTGTTCAAAATGCCGTATCTTTGACAGGAAATCATGTGAAAATAATACACATAGTCGTAAATATACTGTCTAAACTGTTTACCTTCTTTGAAGTTTCCATCGACAATATTTGTGGCAAGAAGATGTAAGATAGGACGTTCTTCTGTACCTGCTGCTGGAATTGGAACATCTGGATCGTGTCCTATGACAGTGTACATATCCTCTGGATAAAATAAAATTCCTCATTTCTAGTGATACACTTAACAAGATTTTTTAAGCTTTACTTCAGGAAAAAAACATGAAAATAACTCAGTTGAAGAGATCCGGAGACTTAAGAGGACATTTGTACAAGTTTTATTAAGATCAAAGTATGTTAGAGTCTTCTAAGTACCACAGTTGCAATGGGGCAAACGGATGCCGTCTTGGTACCCGACTATATGAAAATAATTCGGAAGCTCTTACAAAAAGTATCTTTCAATGAATATATGGATTTTTCAGGAAAAAAACAACTTTACTTTGGCATTATCATAAGTTCGATTTCATTAAGACGAAGAAAGTTAAGAACATACATAAGGTTAAAAACATAAATGATTTTTTTTTTTTTGGGGGGGGGGGGGGGTTCTGTCATGTAAAATGGCGACTTTCCAGCTTGTTTGATGAAGGAGTTTCTAAGGAGCCGCTTTTAAGCAATATCAATCTGTTGACATTCTAGACATTATAATAAAGACTAGTGTAAAGTTTTTCTTACCTGAGAAATTGTGACGTTGAGAAAAATAGCCAAGCTTTGTAAATGTTAGGTCGTAAGGTATACCAGTCCGGACTTGCCACGTGTTTAGCGCTTTGCTTCCAAGAGGGTTTACCGTAAAGTTTTCAGCTCTAAAAGAATTTAAACAAGTCAAATGTTAAGTAGTAAAGAGTCTAATACATTGTTGTATTTAAAAAAATAGATTGCATCGGAGTAGTTTTTTTTTTACAATTTTTACTTTGAATAAAGGAAATGAATTCCTTACAACAACATGAAGGTAGAAGTTAGATTTTGTTGCCAGGTAAATTATTTAAAAAGATGAGCTTTTGATCATTTCTCAAAAAGAAATCTTCCAATCAACTTGTCAGTCGAACCATCAGTTTTTCAAAATCTTTACCCGCTCTTTACTTTTTCCATAAATAACGAAATTCAAAATCTTTCAAACTACAGATGACAAAGATTTTTTTCTGCCCCGGTCTTAGCGACCCTTATTTGAGATTTTGATCTTGTTTAAAATAAATATATGCATGGTATGCCATACAAAATATGGTATAATTGTGTACCTATAAGAGAAGTCCTTACAACATACGTTCATGTTCTCGTCGGCTGGCACCATATAGTCAAAATCTACCCACACTGAAAGTTGGGTATCACTTGGAATAAATGGTCTTGTCTTTTCATGTAAAGCTGAATATGCAAAATAGAATTAATCATACTTATGTCAAAGCATTAAATCAACTTGTCAATATGTCGAAATACCCGGCTTCAGTGATCACTTATATACACACAGTGAACCTGCAAATGTAAGAGGCCAGCCTTAATGGTGTACCTTTTTACTATCGAGGGGAATGTTCGCCATAATTGTATGTATCTAAATGACATGTTTATAACTGAATGTTTCAAATCCATGTATGTTGATTGCATTCTTATTCATTGATTTGCTTACTGTACTGTGAATATTTCAAACTGTGTGTATACTCCTCCTTCATTGCACATTGCTGCTTATTTAAAGAATTAAAACATTGCAAATGCGAACACATGATATGTAAATTTTACTCAAAGTTAAGTGTTGTGCCCATTTTTTAAAGCTAGCAGCATGTCAGCAAGCAATAACGGGAAACGGAAAGTGTAAGATCATAAAGTCGAAAAGTTTAACAGAATTTGCGGTTAAAATGCAAATTTGTGTATGAAAACAATAATTATTTCCTTAAATTACAGGAAAAAGTATAACACCTTCAGCGGGGCTTTAAATTACATAACTGCAGAGATGTACATGACGCTAATTAAATAAGACGTTAGGACTTGTTGCATGCTTTTATTTTTTAATTGGTAGTGAAACCGTCGCATTCAGTGCCTTCAGCGCTTTGATTTATATTGCATTTTATCTTTTTCTTTTATCATCAAATTGAAATCAATTACAAGATTCTCATAAAAATTTCATTATGCAAAATGGCCCGTTAATTTGCTTTAAATGTCTGAAATCGGGAGATTGGCATGTGTGTTTGCGATACCTTAGAAGCTCTGAAAATTGCGGAATTCAGTCTCGGTTTCAGGAAAATTCTACCACCATTTGATATACCTAAGAATTCCGGGTACCCTCCACTAATTTCCCAGGGTATCTTAAAGTAACAGTAAAGTTAATGACTTAACAACTAAGACATAACGGAGCAAAAGACTTAACTTGAACATACAAGATAACTAACTAGCACAGACTACAAAACACGAAACGGAACAGACAAAACAGAATTAAAGACACAAATACACTAACGATACAAGTAACGACAACCAATATCATATAAAACGGACTACAAATGAAGCTACACGACACTAAATACCATAGGCTACAAAACGCGGAACGAAAAAATACGAATATACACCAGGAAACAAAACACAACGCACAAGACACAAGTACAAACTGAAAAGGTAACGAAACAGATATTAGAAAAACTAAACAAAATAACAGAAAGAGAGGACTGTCTACTGAAAGAACTAACGGAATACGTAATTTCAGAACAGTCATACAAATAACCGACAAAAGTTTATCAATTACGTTCCCTGTTGTTACAATATGAAACCCCGGGAAAAAGTAACCAATGAACGAGCATCTGGATACGATATTTCTGTCGCTTTCCCTTTCTCTTCCGTCACAATAAGTAAACCCCAGCAAAAATGATCCAGTCAATGGGCATGCTCTGGAGTGCGGGTAACTAATGCCTGCACTGAACATGTATATGTATACGATTTAACTCTGACACATTATTCATTATTGACACAATCTTTCATTATTGTCATTTTTTTTCCCAAATATATATATACCTTTTGTTGCGAACAAAGGACACAAGGCATAGGGTCCCCCTCTGTCCATCATTGTCTGGGCCGCCCACTCATCCCCTGTCACAACAATCCAGTTCACAGCCACAAGCCCTGGTAAATTTGTCAAAAAATCTCTTATTACAATTTTATCATTCTTGATTTTATTTCAAATGATCGTTTTCAAAATCATTCTGTTTGTACAATAGGTTTATGAATTGCCCTAACTATGCACATAATTTTCTATTATAATTATTATCATGTAAACGATACAGTTTAATTATTTTTAGCAATAGCCGGGTATTTGAAATACCCTGGCAATAGGTGTATCAGATTTATTTCCTTATTTCAATTACGCAGGACATTCATTTTATTGATCATTTCCACGTTTGTATCGCCTTGGTTGGTTGGTTGATTGATTGATTGATTGATTGATTGATTGAGTGTTGTTGTTTCGGTTGTTTTCATGTAAAGGAATATTCAAAGATGGCAAGAGACATACATGTATTTGGATTCAAAACTAGAAGATTAAGATTACAAACATGTTGTTTTAAAAGTATAGTCATTTTTAGATAAAGCTATATCAACGTATTGTTTTTATTTGTTTTTATAGAAAGATAATGCTGTTTGTTGACTTGTGCGTGAAAAATAAACATATTTTAGCTTTGTATGTATTTTAACTCCCATAACGAGGGTCGAAAACTAAAACATCTTCCGCTGCTATAAAATTGATTACAAACCTTTATTTCATTTTACAAAAATGAACAAATCAACCAATAAAAATAAATAAATTAAAATAATCATACGAATGACGGACACTGATATGACGAACATCTTTAATGACGAAAATGGATATGACAAACACTGTAGTGATTTTTTTATTCGAATTTGGTAAAAGTTGTTCGACATAGATTTAAGTAAAACATAACATAAAAGGAATTGTGTGTAGTATTCTACGGTTTATGACTTCTATATATAAATGTTCTTTCATAAATACCTACCATTCATATTAACGGCCGTTGTAAATTCTTCGATGGTCCATGCACCGGCCATGTTCCCTGTTGTGAATCTCTTCATCCATTCTTCAGATAGTGTTATTTTGCCATTTTGTTTAAACAGCATAAAAAGGTAGGGGTTTTTGATGTCTGTACCAATAAGTGGCTGAACATAGTCACGTATAACCTAAAAATAACATTTAAATATATATCATATTTGATTTAAATATCACAAATAAACTGTGATCATATTTAATTTAAATATCACAAATAAACTGTGATCATTAAAGATTTAAGACAATTAATGTGCAATTGATGTGATCACAGACGAAGAAATATCCTTAATGGCCCATCGCAGCGGCGGTGGAATATTCATCGCAGACGCGGTGGGGTATACGAAATATGGCCGTTTGCTGTTGTCGGTAAGTTTATGACTGAATTTAAGAACATAAAAACATAAAACAAAATTCAGTCTTAAACTGAACGACAACAGCAAACGACCATATTCTATCCACCGCTTCTGCAACGAATACTCCACCGCCGTTGCGATGGACCAACCGCTTCTGCGAAAGCTATGACCAGTGTGATATCATAAAAGAATTCAAATCAAACTTCAATATATTTCCTTTCGACAAAAAGGCTCGGAACAAACGCGATAATAACAAAAAACCCACGAGTTATAGGAGATAGTACAAACTGAACGGTGTTCAAAGTGATGTGTAGGATGGTTGAATGTCACACCAAAACTGCCAAGATAGTGTGGCAGAGAAGTTCTGAAATGACCCTAAATAACAATTTTAGGAGTTGAACCTGCGACCTAATATAAAGATCATACAATAAGTGTGAAAGTAATATCAATTATGTTTGTTTTATAGATGTACAGGAACCACACTCAGTAAACGAACGTATTTCCGGTGCTACATGTTGACTTGAATAATTTGTAAATTGACCGGAAGTAGCAGGTGCGTGTGCTCGCAAAAAACTTACCTAGTGAACTAAACAAACTCGTAAAATAAATCATACAGATATTCCGTTTGAGCACTGAGGAGGAAATATTAAAACTCACGTCAGCAGAAAGTATGTCGTCATTCAATATATTTATGTAAAGACCGCTTGACGTCATATATCCAGCATCATACACCATTAGCGTATACAAATCCCCGGATGTATAGCTCCAATTTACGGAAACGGGGAAATTTTTCACATACCAAGGGTAGACAACAGTGTCAGAAAGTGGATCCGCGTTGTAACTCCAGGTTTCCGTCGTTTTAAATGTGTTCCCGCATGCTTTGTAGTTCTCTTAAAAAGTATAAAGACGTGAAGTTAACAATATAAAATTTGAGGTTAAATACGTTGCTTCGTCCTTGAAATTGACGTCATTTTAGCAACACAAAGTTTACGAACCACCTTCAATGCGTCCTACCGTCATCAACGCTCCGTTTATTAGCATAGATGACGTCATGAATCTCACAATATCTCACGCAATTGTACCGTATGATTTAACGTAAATAAAAAGAGTGTTTGCCCTGAAACTGCATTTTTAGCAAGTTTTAATTTGAGAAACTATTATAATGGAATCAAAGTGTTGATCATGTTGCCATGGTGATTGGCGCTTTGTTGTTTATTTTTATTAAGAAATATGTAGTAAATAAATACTTTCATAGCAAAATATTAAAACATCATATTGATATGACTGCTTATAACTATTTTATAGCTTTCCGAACAACCGCCTCCGTGGTCGAGGGTTTAGAGTCGATGACTTCTAATCCAGTTACCTCTCTGGCGTGGGCTCGATCCCCGGGAGATGCTTTGGTAGTTTAGCGCGGAGGAAGGTAGTCTAGTACTGGTGTAACTCTCCAGGAACGATGGTTAGGAAACTACCCGCCTATATGACTGAAATACTGTTGAAAAAGGCGTAAAATGAAACAAACAAACAAACAAACAAGCTTTCCGAACAGCCCCCGTGACATAATTTGGAAAAAAAAAAAATGTTCACGGAGCATGATCCTAAAATACTTGAATATAAAAATATCTGACTTATTTTGACACTTAAAATTCGATATTAAATCAGGCGCATACCTTAGATGAAAAAAAGATATGCCATAAATTATCATAGTGTTTTAATATTTCACTCGTATTTCGCATCTGAATGAAGTATTACATCGCGTATATTTTTTGCTGGTAATTGAAGCTTAAAATATACTTTTAAAACCTGTTTATCTGTTTAACCATTTTATTTTATTTCTATATTTCTAAATATGCTTCACGCGCATACAAATTTTTTGCGCATGCGCAGTTGAGAAAGTCAATACGTCACAAGTAAATCAACAGTAGAAAAAAGTTTTTAAATCACTAAAATGTATCGTTTTAAAAAGAAGTAAAGATTTTAAAATAACATTGGAATTATTGCTTAATCAGAAGTATTGATGCACTCACTTCCTCCCGACTCGAACTTTAACTCAAGAAACCGATCAAGTCCCGCAGTGAAGTCCGTAGAAGAAAACAGCCTGACTTGTATACTTTGAGCAGATGGTTTCGGATTCATACAAAACACGCCGCTGTCCTCATTATTCGGGCACCTCTGTGAGAAATCAGAGCCAAACCAGAACTTGTCCGGTAACAAAAGCACTTCTTTTGTCTTGTCTAGACATGCTGATAGGTCTGCAGTTCGGTTCTCCAAAGAACAAAGCGAGGCATTTACATATAATGTAACTGAAAGGGGAAAAGGAAAATAACCATGGTTTCAAAAATTCTCACAAGTTTGTAAATATGCAAATGAGAAAAACAAATGTTATGATGATGGAAACTATAACAATACAAATAAAAGTGTTGTAAATAATGAAAATAAATCTCGATATGGATGATGATGATGATGATGATGATGATGATACGGAAAATAATATTAATAAAGGTGATATGAATAAAAAAAGTAATGAGAATTAACACTTAAAGTTGATAATTTTGATAATAATTATAATAATTATATAGATATTTATTAGCAAATATAGACAGACGATTATGGTGTTGATAACGAGGATACTGATGATGACAACGCAAACTACAATGATGAAGACGACGCTGAAGATGATAATAATGACGATAATGATGATGGTAATGATGACGAAGCTGAGAATGGTGACAGTGATAACGATACCGATAATGATGGTAATGTTGATGACGACGACAATCTCGATGATGATAATGACGAAGACGTGAATGGTGACAATGATAACGATGCCGATAATGATGATGGTAATGTTGACGATCACAATGGCCATGAAGGTGATGATGACGATAATACCAATCTTAAAAAGTGAGGTAAAAATACAACTCACTCTCAACATTACATAGTAAATATACAGTTTCATAACTTTTTGATAATATAAAAGCATTGAATTTAAGGATGTACAAACCAGTTTGAAGAATCCACAGAAAACTTAATAATCGCGCAACAAAATCCATTTCAAGTATCATATGTTTTTATCCACCCTTAAATAAAGATGTCGCACAAGTTTTGAAGGTCAGGATACATTTTATTAGGTATTTGAAATTTCATCACGCGTAACGATTAACTTTAATATACATTCGTCACGCTAAGAACAAATATTCGTGCTAGTAAATAAAGTCTACGGTTAAAAATCAAATGTGTATGTCTACGTTCCATTTCAGAGCAGTTAAGTATTAAATTAGGAAATACAAAAACTTCGGTATTTCTTATTTTTGAGAAGACATTACGCCAATGCAAGGGTATATAGTGAGTGAACAGGTGAACTAATTCCTTTGAATCTAATAATTTTATAATTTACTCCGCGTAGACGATAAGTAACTCACTTGGCCTTACCTATAGTGTAAGTAATAGAAAGAGCACCGAAACACGAGGTTATCTGATTTGTACGAGGGGGCATAGCCCCCGAGTATTAATCAGATTACCGAGTGTTTTGGTGTTCTTTCTCTTTTGTATCATAGTCAAACATAAAAACACGTTCCCTGTTGTTACAATATGAAACCCCGGCAAAAATGAACCAATGAACGAGCATCTAAATATGACATTTCTGTCGATTTCACTTTCACTGCCGTCACAATATGTAAACCCCAGCAAAAAAATGCCAATCAATGGGCATGCTCTAGAGTGCGGGTAACTAATACCCGCACTCCAGTTAACGCACTGTGCATGTATATGTATACGATTTAACCCTGACACATTTTCAACAGAAAGGTCTCCAAACTATGATACTAGAGTGTGGTTATCTGTTTACATATATATTTTATCTTAAATATTTTCTAACATCAACGTTATATGCCACTTTAAGTCTAATGGCAAAGACATGACAAGTCCTTAAAACAAGGAGGGTATATTGCTATTTACGTTCTACTACCGCTGTTGGCGTTCTTTTAATAAAGATAACACGTTGTTAAACCGAGGGAAAGTACCATCCGTACGTTTTCATCAAGTGGAAACTGTTGCTATACACCTTTGAAGTATTGTACTGTATTTTTTGAACAGGGGGAAATATACTTATTTTTAATTTTAGCGATGATACCCATATGCGATCATCTTGCTGTATAATTTTATATAAAGGATAATGATGTTATTATAATATTAGTCGTTTGAACTAAGTGAAAATGTTGCACTGTATGGAATAATTTATACGTGTAACTACTAATCATACGTGATTTGAACAAAGGTAAACGTTGTTATACATTTAATATAGCATAGTGATGGCACTGTAATTAACACCTTTTGAACAACAGAATAGTTTTGACCAACTGAATAGTTTTGCTATATACGCCATTTGAACCAAAAATTATATACGCCATTTGAATAAAAATAATTTTGCTATATGTGTCCTTTGATCAAAGAAAACTCATTAATATATACCCTTTGAACAAATGGGTAGTGCTCTGTATATGATAGTGGCTTCATAAGTCCCATGAAATGCTATATATGTCCTTAGAATAAAAGGATGATGCTATATACGCCATTTGAAAATAAGTACTGTTGCATGTACGTCTTTTTAACAAACTAGAATGTATAGTGTTGTACACATACATCATTAAAACAAAGGGATAATATTGTGATTTTGTATGCGTCCTTTGCGGATGATGCTATATATGTGTCCGTTAAACAAAGGTATTGATACATAGTCTATGAAACATTTGATAACAGGACAAAAAACAACGCAACTTCCTTAAAAAGGGGAGATAACACTGCTATATGCTGTCTTTATCCAAACTCCTTGTTTTGGACAATCTTAAGGGACTTCATTTCTCTCTATTTGATGTAGAGCATCATTTTATCAAACAAGATTATAAATAAAGCCCGGACGGCGCAGTTCACATTAGTTGTGTTTGATCATAAAAATCCTTTCTACGGTCATATCACTGTACCACTGCTCTGTACAGAAGTGATCAGTTCCTTACGAAAGTGAAGACAACTAGTACTGGTCAACTGCTTGACAGTCTGCCTAGGAAAGATGCGGTGGTAGAACTGTGCTCTGGTGAATTCAATGTGGCTTATTGCCGTGGACCCGAGGTGAAAACTACCAACATCACCATCACCTTATTCTTATGAAAGTCTCTTCAATAAAAATAACAAAAACAAGTATTTTATTTCATGTTAGTTTTATTTCCCCTTTTCTTCAGGAAAACATATAAATTATTGGTTATATAATATTTAGAGCATCAGTAAAATCGATGTCTTGCAGCACATATACATAAAAGAATATCTCTATAAATTATATATTCACTATATACAAGTTTGTTCATTAATTATGTATCACACTTGAGGTTCCACATTACAAATAATTTGTTATCTCGAAATAAATTTAAGTTTCCCTCTTAGTATATGTATTTAAAGTCAATACAATATTATTTAACCGCTAATGTACCTTTTCTACTTGAAAACCAATAAAAATGCATGACAATATATATATACAGTTGTATTATATATTTACCTCACACCTGGGACAGAAAGATACACTACATTATTAGTCCCAGCTCACACTGTGCCAGTGCCGTTACGATCTAAGGGATCATCTCAAATTTAATGTGTAAATTTTTAATTACAGTATTAAAGAAAAATCGTGCTAAATGTGAAACCTTGCAAAAAGTACAAAATCATGCACTTTGACTCGATTGATTCAATCGTGAATAAAATATTGACTAAATTGCTAAAAGTCAGTTCTTAAGTGAGTTAATAAAAAACACCTCAAGGAAACCTCTAGTCTGAATGCTTCAATATACAAGTATGTATATTTTATTCACATATCTATGTACAGTTTTATCACTTAACATAAAGTAAATGCATAATCTGAATGTACAAAATTTAATATTTACAGTAAACAAAACGAACTGTATGTA